TCCCTAAGAAAAGGAGAGGATGGGACTAAAATATTTCAGATAAATTCATCATGAACGACGAAGCCACTCTCCGAGAGAGTGCAAAAGCGTCCTGGACACCAGGTCCCTGCGTGACCTGAGGCAAGCCACTTTGCCTCGAATGAGGAGGCAGGCTGGGGGTCCCCCATGTCCCATAACTCTACGACTCCGATTGCAAGTCACCTTCAACATGTCCCAACCCCTGGCTTCAACAGTACTGCAGAGGGTTCCAGCTCAGGCCACATTGGGGTCCCCTCAGGCTCCCTGCCTGTTATTGAGCATGTGACCTTGGACAAGTTACCTCGTGTCTCTCTGGGCCTCAGTTTGCTAAACTGAGCTGGGACGGCGTCATTGCCCCAGCCTCACTGGGTGCTCGTTGGGGTTCAGCGGAGCCACGCGTACGGAGCTCTTTGCTCGATTGATACATGGGAGAGCTTGATCCGATTTCCCCCGAGCTTGCCAACCTCTCAGAGAAGCTGGCAGCAATCTCTGGCCCATCGGGTCCCGCAGTCATCCCGCTGAGCCTGCACTGTGGCACGGGGCCCCTGGTCCCGTTAAAGCTCAGAGTGACTCTCAGCTTTGCCTTCTTCCCTGTCCTACAAGAGCGCACGCATCCCAAGGACACCAGCTCCACATTAGAGCTTCCCAGCCCCGTCTCGTCCCCGAGAGCACAGACGAGGAACGAATGAATGGCTCCGCCAGCCCCAGGCCAGTGTCACCCTGAGCTGCATCTCCACCTCCAGACTCCAGTACCAGAAATCAATTACCTAAGTCAACATTGGCCTTTTAATTTTAATTGACGACAACAATTATTACATATAAGATAACAACAGCAAAAATGGTGATGAATGGGGAGCCAAAAAGGTCTGAGATTGCACACAATCCGAATATTACTATCCACACGGTTATTGGGAATATTCTTTTTTTAAATAAGAGCTTCAGTGTTGACTGTTTCAATAGAAGAGTGAGTCATTTATTTACAAACATTTAAAAAATGTACTAAAATTAATTTTACTAATTAATTTTAGAAAATTAAAACAGTGATGTGGACACATGGACAAAAATGTGTAAACGCGTAAACGGGTATAGAATGAAAAGTAGCTCTCCCACTCCGAATGCCCACCCATTATGGCCAGTTTTCTGTGTGTCTTTTCCCAGAAGTGTTGGTCATTTTGAAACTATTAAAAAATGCTGATTTAAGGTCGATGGGGACCAGCATGACAGGGCAGAGTGATTTCCATTTTCTACATGATGCATCTGACTTAAAAAAAAAATAATGAGCATATATTACTTTTATTTTTAAAAATATTTTTTTAAAGAAAGAAAATCTATTATGAAGAACCTACTGGAATTGAGAATGACATATATCCCCAGACAGTGAGAAGCCACCAGCTCTCAAAGTGGCACTGGGGAAGGCAGCCTCACCTGCCAGAGGCCGGGAACCGGAGTCTCTCTCAGCCCTTCAGAGCCCTGGGAAGCCGGTGGCAGCCGCTGGCCCAGCCCTCTTGTCTCTGCTTGTTCCTGGGCACCCCTCATGCAACAACCCAGAGATCGAGACCACGAGACCCTGAAATCCTGGCACTAGCGTCGGAGGCCCCCAGGGTCCCCCCAGCGGATCTCCGAAGAGCAAAGAACGGCCACAGTCCCCTGCAGGCCCCTCAGTCCCTCACTATGGCTGTTTCTTCGCAGCCAACACACCAGCCTATCTGGGGGCTCGTCAGTGGGGCTCAGGTGACCAGAATCAACTGTTCATTCACTTTTCTGGGGATCCGGGACTGGCTCAGGACATGGAATAAACCAAGCAATTCCCAAAGACACCGAGTCCCGTACCCTAAAATGAACATCGCCATGACTCGGAGGGGAATATCAGCGCCCCGAGTCTTTCGCTGACAAATCACGCAGTCTCTCAACAAACGCTTATTGCCCTTCTCTGTCAGCCCACAAGTTTTGTCCCGTCCCATTTCTGAATTTTTATTATAAATTGAGACGACGGGGTTTGGGGTTTGTTTTCCTAATAGAAATTCATGTCACACTATTGACCACATTCCCAGGAGGCTGTGCTGCCCGCTCCTTCCCCCGGTGGTGCAGAAGCCCTAGTCTAGAAGGATCTCAGCGTCATCTGGACGAATATCAATTTCCATTGTACCACAGATGTCCCGACACGCCAATTAATAGAGTTCCAGCAAATAGATATTGGCCAGGGAGGCCCCACGGCACAGTGACCAAGTGTTCTGCTCTGGGGTCAGACAGGTCTGGGTTCGAATCACAGCTCGGCAACCTCCTCCCTGTGTCCCTGAAGCCTGGTTTCATCGTCATTAAAATGGGGACAGTGATGGAGCGCCTCACGGGGCCGAGAGCGTTCTATTTCTTAAAAAGTTCCTAAGCCCCTTAGCTGGGTGCTGGTGCAGGCGAGTGTTCCACAGACGGTGGCCTTATTACTAATCAGAGCACCTTCACTGCATCCACCGATGAGCAAGATCAAAGGAAAATGGTGCTCGTCCCCGCAGAGCCAAGAAAAGAAGTGGCACTATGGGGCTCCAGGGGGAAAGAAAAAAAAAAAAGAGAGAGCTCAACTGCCTGAAAGGAGAGAGAGAGAAAAAAAAAAGGTAGCGAAAAAAAAGCCCACTTTTAGGGTGCCGTATTTTACCAAAAAAATAAGGGGAAAGACTGGGAATTTTCTTCCCGGTTCCCAAATCCAGAACTTTCAGATCTTATTCTTACTTCCTTTCCTTGTGCTGAGATCTCGAGTCACAGGTCTTGCTTCGTGCAGGGCTGGGTTTGTGTCCCCGGGAGAACCGGGTCCCTGTGTTCCCCTTTCAACCCAGCAGCAATCGCCCGGAGAAAGAATTGTTCATTCAACATTCAGCACCCACTTACTATGAGATGGGCACTTTCTAGAAGTGTCGTTTTTTTAAGCGCCTGAGGTTACCGTAAATTCTTCCCGGTTGAAGTGAGCCAGAAGGTGCCCTGGGGATAACATGCTGGTACATCCAGCCAGATGCAAAACCGGCCTGGGGACGGGCCGCCGGCTGGCTGGCTTTGAAACCCCATCGCCCTTGCTTCTGTTTGGAGGGCTGTCATTTTATAATTGTGGAAAAGTTGAGAGCAGCGATAACATATTTCATTTACTAAATAGAAGTGTCCCTTCCCACGTTTTTGGCCAGTCATGGGTTACTGAAATGCACATAGTTCTGAAAGTGACAAGGAGCTTAAGGAAACAGATCACGCCGAGGCCCCGCTCCCTGGCTGACTCTCCCACACGCACACAGCAACGAGCCGACTTTATTCCAGAGGCATCCGGGGAATGGCCCGGGAGCAGCACTTGCTCCTGGCCAAGCCTAGAAGGGCCGCGTGACCTCTGGCCTCAGCCCGGTGGCACGGTGCTCACACGAGCCTGGATGCACGGTTAGTCTGGTAGGTGGATCTGACATTGGGACATAGTTTGAGAACACTGCCACCACAAAAACTGTGCCCAACTTCACTTAATAAAAATAAAATGGGTGATATTCGGTGTTTCCTTGTCCCTCTCTCAAACAGTCCCTTCCTTGCGGGCTTGCTAACTCCGTAAAAGCACTAATAGCCACATCGGTGCTATCTAGCCATCAATATCATACATGATAGAATTTTTTTTCCTGATCTTCTCTTTTCAGTTTAAATCCCTGATCAAACGTAGATGACTTTTGAAAAGTCATAAACTCTCCCTCCTTAGGGATCCTCTTCAGCCACCTTGCCTTCTGACTCTGCATTTCTGTATAAATCTCTATTAATGTTTTCCGACTCCGCGTGATGAGAGATGGTGCACAGCGAGATGAGACCCAGCCCCCTCGGGAGCCCCTCTGCCAAAGCCACGCAGGCACTCCTAGTCTGTCTCCTGCGTGCGTGTGTCTGCGTGGGAGGGATGGCGTGAGCGCACATCCCCCGGCTCGTCCGTATCAGGATGGCTGGGGGGCAGCGTACACATGTGAAAATGTGTGTGTGTGAGGGTGAGAGCGGGTGAGGATCTGGGAGGATGCACTCTGTTAGAACGGGGGTTCGGCCACACCTGAGGACGATTCCAGGATGTCTGATGGGGAACCCTTGCTCCCATGGGATGTCAGCCCAGCTGGATCATCACAGGAACCACCTCTGTCCTGGGCTGGGGCCACCGATTCCCTGGCCACACCAAGGCCCAGGCAAAGTCCATTTTGCCATTGCCCCTAGGAGATCCCCTGGGGCCTGGTTATTCAGGGATGACTGGACCTCAGTCCCAGAAGCCACCAGGCCCCAGTACCCCTTGGACCCTGGAAAGGCTTGGGGCTCTGAGTCCCAGGCAGAAAATGGAGCATGGACTAAGAAGTCATTCTCTGACTCTGGGAAGGATCTTTCAGACTGCCCCCAAGGGGCACCGTGGCTCTCCGCATAAGCAAAAAGAAGCATGAGGTACAAATAAGTATGCGGGGGAACAGCCCCACTACCCTTGCACTGTGCTCCCCGACAACCTGCCAAAGGGAGGCCAGGCAGCTTGCCCCCTCCAGGGCCAGACACTGGGCAAATTTCCTGTCCAGGGAAGGTTCGAACAGGGCTCGCCATCAGCTCCTCCCCAAACACTGGGAGCTTGTCTGCCTCTGCCCCAGCATCTCCCTCCCAGAAACACCTCCTTCGCATCCTCCTGAACCTTCACATGCCCCAGGCCTGGCTTAGCTCCTCTCCACCCGACCGCAGGATGTGATGTGTGCATTTGCTGTCTCTCTCCCTTTCTCTCTCCTCCCAGAAGCTTTCTCCAGCAGAGGCGGCAGTGTTAATATTGCCCCCGATGCCCTCTGAGTGCTTCTGAATCTGCCTGCCACCAACTGAGACCTGGTTTCCTTGTCTGAAAACGGTAGCTAATTGCAGAGTCCTCTCTCATGGATTAAATACTTGAGAATTCAATAGGATAATGCATGCACAGTGTCTGGGAGAAGGTGACAGCGTGAGCGATCGGGATGTGTGATAACTGAGACGAGCGTCGGGATCCGCACGTCATCAGTGTCTCACGCATGCAGAACGAGGGACAACGCACAGCTAAAATGGTGCAGACACAACGCTCCTCTCCCACCCAAACGCTTTCCCTGGGCTGCCTTCCGTGTCTTGCCCTGTGTCCCTGGCTTCTGAACCCCAGGACAGCCCCAGCTGACACCTGGGGAGCTCACTGTCGAGGTGCTATGACATTCGTAATGGCACAGAGTCAAAAGTTCCATCCTTCCTGATCTACAGCAGAAAACTAGCCTGCCCATCACCCCCAGTGGGCCCCGCTGCTTGCTACACGACAGCACACACACTCACCTCAATGGCCTTGTAGAAGATGCTGGTGCCAATCTGGACCACCTCCAGGTTCTGCTCCTGCTCGTTACGAGCGCACTTGATGTAGGTCATCCAGCTCCGGTGGTCCTCCTGGCTGGCGTCGATAAAGTAGCGCACCGTGCCATCTTCATTGAACACCTGGGAGCAGGCGAATCAGGGACCAGGTGAGGCAGGGCTGTGTCAGGTGTACCACCTGTGGCCAGGTCCGGGCCCCACGCCGGGCACATCCAAACACACTCTCTTTCCATCCTCACAACAGCCTCGCGAAGCGGACACAGCTCTTATCATCTTGGTTCTCCAGCTGAGCAAAGGGAGGCTCAGAGCAGTGGCTCGCCCGAGGCCAGCCGGCTAGAAGTGGCCCACAGCAGGGTCAGTCTCCAGGGCCCCAGAAGGAAAGGGACTCCTAGGGATCACTGACTGGACAAAGTGGCGTCCAGCTAGTTCTCTGGGGTCGCAGGGTACTTCCCAGAGCAGCAGAGAGCACTGGCCAAAATCACAGAGGGGACAGAGGAGCCCGGAGAGGTAAGGCTGGCTCACTGTGGCACCTGGCCTGGCCTGAGCCCCTTCATGGAGCTGTGAACTAGACTCCAACTTCCTAATCCAAGCGGAGAAAGTAACCACTAGCCGGGGCCTCCAGGGGAGGGAGGAAGTGAGGTTAGGTGAGGCCTCTGGGCCATCCCACGGTTCCTTTCCTTTCGCTCCTTTGACCAGGTGCAGTATTTGTCACCTTGGGCTCCTCCAGGGTCTACCAGGTGGAAGCTGTGGGAGGGAGCCAGCTGAGGGGAGGGGAAATGAGATTAGGGAGAGGGTGCCCTAGGTTGGCCTCTGTAAGGTAAAAGCCCCACGGGGAGGAAGTGCTTCGGGAGTGGCTTCATCCTACAGGTGGCCCTCCCTGGCACCTGGCACTGTCTGTGGGGAGGAGGATCAGAAAGCCTGGGATGGACGCCTCTCTGAACACCAGTTTCCTTTTGTAAAATGGGCATGATAACTCATGGGGCTGCCAAGATATTCTGGTGGACTGCAGGCCCCCACTCGGAAAGCCGACTCAGTGCCAGTTCATCCAGAAGCACTTCCGATGGCATTATTCTGCCAGGGTGGAGAGGTGGACTCCCAGGAAGCACAGGCTCCATTCATTCTCCATTCCAGCCCCCCTCGCCTGCAGGCCAGGGCTGGCTGAGGGGCTTTGCATGCTGCTTCCTGAGGGGGATGGGGTGGGAAAAAATGCAGGTGGCTGAGAGATGTTCCCAGTACTAGGCGGGACCCTGGGCAAGTGACCTGGCCTCTTTGGGTCTCAGTTCTCTCCTCTGTGAAGTGGGTCCAACAACAGTTGTGTTCCCTAGAGTTGGCCAGAGGAAAGAGGGTCAGATTTTTTTCTAACGAAGCTTTCCCAGGGGAGTATGTTGGGGTGGGTGGGGAGAAAACTCCAGGGATCCAGCGGCAAAGGGTCCTGGCCTCAGGGAGCAGCAGGGGTGGAAGCCGCAAACAGCGGGAGGCCGGGTCCTGCCAGCTCCCAACCCCCGCCCGAGCCTACCTCCCACATTAGGTTGTTGTTCTTGCAGATGTCCACGTGCTCCGGGGCGATGACTCGGCCAGTGAAGGGGCCCATCTCCGTGCCCGCTTTGATCCACGTCTTGGAGAAGATGCCGAGGCCCTCGCCTGGAATGGAGCTCTGTGCGATGATCACCTCTGCGGGCAGCACCAGGCTGGACAGCTTCTGCACCTCTGTGGCCACAGGGGAGCTGGGTCAGAGCCCGAGGACCCGGCCCGTTCTGCGCAGCCGACACATCCTAAGCCCAGAAGTCGCTCCATGTGTGTGCAGGGGAGTGTGGGGTGCGGAGGTTCAGCGGCCAGAGTGTTCTCTGTTTGCAACCGGGGGACCCTCTATGCCCTCGAAAGCCCTCGAAAGTGGTGTGTCGGGGCTCATTTCTAGGAGGGTTTTTTTAAAGTCTCTCCACAAATTCTCAAAGCACCCACAATTCCCACTGCCTTCCGTCCCAGAAAAGTTTAATAATTATTGAGCCGACCGCTGTGCGTGGTTTCACAAATGGGCAAACTGAGGCCAACTCCCATGAGGAGGTGCCGGCCAAGCTGAGGCTCTTTGCCCAGCCGCGTTCTGGGTTCTTTGGCTGGTCACTTAGAGATCATTGCGCGTCCGCACCGAGCACAGCGCACGGTCGGAAGATCCGGGACACAATCCGATCCCGAGCTCTGACTTCTTACGGGGAAGCCCTGCTCCCGGGGCAGGCTGGCAGTGCTGAGAACGGACCTCGGGCTGAGAGGCCACGGAGGCTCAAAAGAAACTTGGGCCACGGTGGGCCAAATTGGGCTCTCTCTATGTGACCCAGGGCGCGCCTGGGTCCCTCTGTGCACCCAGGATCCGCAGTGCCAGGAAAGGCAGCGCCCAGGAGGGACCCAGGCAAGCCCCGAAGTTGCTTCTCAGGGCAGGGAAGAGTGGGGGCAGCCCACCACCCCTGGGGGTCCCCCAGGCAGACCTGGCAGCGGGGGTGGGAGCCCTGAGGCTCACAGGGGCGGCCTCCATGTCTTACAAGGTTCCCCTCTAAGCTACCTGGGAAAATACCCGGCGAGCGGCTGGCTGAAAGGGGGGTTAAACGGTGTCCATTGCGGCGGGGCCAGGCAATTTGTCACGCTGTTAAAGTGATCGCATTCATTCGGCTCCATTCGAAAGAAATTGCTAATTCTAAATTCATTAGCCCTGGAAGAATGCTGTAGCAGTAAATTGTAGCTCAATGCCGAGGGGACTTGTTTAAAAGGGGCCGAGGAATTCCCCTTACAAAAAGCGGGGATTAGATGGTTGACATAGCGTGAATGGAAGTGGAATTAGTCTGCACGGTAAATTAAGAGAGGAACAGAAATCGTAAAGGGGGAAGAGAGGGCGACGCGCAGAGATGCCAGCACCGGGGGAAGATATTGTTTGCTGGTTGATGAATGAGGAATAAGAACTTGAGACATCTTAAAGAAAAGAAACTTTTCTCGCTCTCTTTTTCTCTCCCTCACTCTCTCCGCGGCTTTCTCTCTCCCTCCTGCCCGCCCTCCGCCCCTTCCCCAGCCCCCGCTGCCTTTTAAAGTTCTTGGTTTAAGTGGGAACTTTCGCGGGTCAAGCCTAAGTTAACTAAATGAATTTAAAACCCCTTCTTTTTGAGTCAACTGCTATTACACGCCTAGTAAGGCTTTCAATGCCGGGAACCGGCCTCCTCAAAGGGGTGAAGGGGGGCGCGGGGGCTGCGGGCCGGCAGCCTGGACATCGCGATCCTTCTCTGAGCCGCGGGGTGCGGAGCTACCCGCTCCCCCCCCCCACCTACGCTCTGCCCTGGTTCGGCTTACGGGAAACTGAGGCACGCGGAGCATCTGGAACGCCCCCAATTGGCGTGAGCGGCTTCAGTGCCCCGTGTCCTCGCCGCGGCCCGCGCGCCGCAGGGCAGGGAATCAAGGGCCGCGGAGAGCAGGGGAGGCGACCGGCCCCGACGGCGCGACTCACCGCCGGAGAAGGACTGCGCCAGGACCTCGGCGGTGAAGGCTGTCTTGGGGCTGGCGTGGTGGTTCTTGTCCTCGAAGAGCTGCTCGCCCAGCACGTTGCGCCAGCGCCCGTACAGGAAGCTGTGCAGGATGTCGGAGGTGATGACCTCGGCCAGCGCCAGTCCCGGCGCCTTCAGCCCCGTCTTGAGCACCAGGGCCTCAGCCGGGAGCACGGAGCCCATCATGGGCGTCCCAGGGCTCGCCGGCGCCGGGGACAGACGGCCGGGCAGACGCGGGATGTGGCGGGCGAGAGGGGAGAGGAGCGAAAGAGGGTCGTGATGGAGAAGGAAGCGGCGCAGGGGGAGGCCGAGGAGGCGGGAGGGAGCGGGAGGCTGGGGGGCGGCTGGGAGGGAA